TATTATATATCATTTGCAATCCAGGACACCATAATTAATATAATAAGTGGATCTCAGGTACGTTTGAGCCATCCCATCGCATCTTCCCCCGCGAAGCAGTGTGTGTAGCGCGAGTTGTATCCTCAGGGTTCGAATTTATATTTATCCTGAGCATATATAGGATCTTAGGTTCTATCTGTTGTCAAAATCCAAAGCCACAAAGTGTTCAAGAGTTCGAGGCAGGAATCGCCATTTGCGGGTTTGGTCCAGGATATGGAGCATGGCCTGATCAGGGGAAGCTCCATTGCACCAGCATCGTAGTACATATACAGCCATTGATAATATAGTCAAGTTGCATGATATTTTGGTTTCAGGATCCACGCGAAGATCTGCAGCCTGAGCCGACCGTTTGAGGGTATGTGGACTTAATTGAGGCAATTATTTTAATGAAAATAATTTATCCAAGGAGCTGATGGGAGACTCGGGTCAGTTGCAGATGGCATTTCAGAAACAGCATTCCATTGGCATAAATTTCTTGGCTTTGAGCCGGGGTCCTCAGCAACTGTCTAGATCTAGGCCAGTGACCACGCCGACAACATCACGTGGGTACCAATAGGAAAAGCACTATATATATATATAGCTATGCTAGCTAGTATGAGTGCTCAGTGCCATGGAAGCTGCAATAAGCGCTTCGCCTTCTCGCTGCTGCTGAACCAGTTGGAGAATGCAGTCCTCAGCTCCCCGGATTAAATTACATCCTGCGTAGCCTCGTGACTATTGAAACTATTCTTATTAATTATTCTTATTATCGAAAGCAGATGTGCAAGAACCACATTCCTTTTCAGGGTTTGGGAAAATCAGCAGAGCTGCAGTGCCGTGGCATGCACACGTATGCTGTGACTTGCAGCTGCTTGTTGGGCAACGTCTTGCAATTTGCTTGACAACCACAGCATCACGACACGGGCGTTATAAGCTTTGCTTGTGAAGTAGTACCCATGCACTGCCTTCCGCAAATGGCGTGGCGCAAAAGATCGCTGGGAGCAAGCAATTTTGTTGGCCCGGCGCCATTCCTGAAACTGGCCATATGCTGTTTCGAGCAATGCCTTCAGATCTTCAGGGCCATTGTAAGGACCGAAGTGGCCCTCACGTATTAAAGCTTCCCTTGGATGTGCTGCTTTGTCTGATCACGAAATTATTTCTAGGAACCCTGCAGTTTGCAGCGATTTGGGGAGAACAAAAACACATCAGAAGACTTCTATACCTCGCGAGGCACAGTGCACCACCACTTGCTGTGTGAACCAAACCCAGATTGCAGACGTGCATGCTGCAGAATTTGACCATGGAAACATCGAAACCCGTCAGCTGAGTCAGAGGGCCTTTAATGCCAGCAATAGTTTGCAACTTGGATTCGAATCGACTCGACGAAATTTGTTTAAAGATTTAAAACTGCTCTTTTCTAAATAGAAGCCAAGATACTCAATTGTCCAGGCCGAAGGGCACGCCTAAGAAATGTTGCAGTGTCGAATTGTGCATGCCGCCAAGCTGCTCCATCACCATGATCATAATAGCGAAGTGGGGCATCAGATGCTTCGGCATCACACATAAAGCAGCACTTCTTCGATACAGGGGTCCGCAGCAAGCGCAAAACGCGCTCATGCCACTTCCAGTCACCCCTGAGCTCAGAGCACACCCAGCGAGTGTCCCCCGAAAACTTTTGGCCTGCCTTCTTGGATTTCAATCCAGTTAAAGCAGAGCCAGTTCTCGAGACTGTTGGATATGAACCAATGCACGCTTGATTGCAGCTCCAAACAATATGCTCCAAGATCGGAGTGATTGTCTGAAGATTCTCATGGACCATGCAAGCATCCTGTACTGCACATATTAACCAAATGCCCTGCCGAGATTGCCGGGGTCTGAACAAGGTGAGTTGTAGGAATATTCCTGTCACCTTATCCCTGGAGTCCTTGCCCAATGTCAGCTCGTCCCCGTAGATGGTGAATGGTACCATGCAATCCAGATCTTCGTTTCTAGCAGGAAAGTTCTTTGCAAAGGGGTACCCATTGTCACGTAGATGTTTCCAGTAAGCACGAACTTTATCCATTGGACACTGAAGTTGAAGCTCCGCCTGTAGGAAATCCAAAAGCTCGTGTGGGTCCAGCACTGGAATTGTCGTGTTGACCATCTTGCGATCTCCCTCAAATCCCTCGTAGATTATCGTTTGAACTTCTGTTGGTTCCTTGGGGCTGTGGGCTACATCTTGAACTTGAGGAATTATATATAAGGTTGATAATATAGGGGGCTATCTCTGTTTGACTCTGTTTAATTGTCTTTTGCAATCAGAAGCCAGAAACCTCCTTAATTATGATAAAATCCCACATAAAAAGAACTTACAATAAGATATCCTGTCCCGGCTTCCAGAGGCACATCCACATTCTTGAAGAAGTCCCGCGCATCATTGCCAGCTCGATATGTCATCAGTTTCGACATAATCTTGCCCTTGAAGTGCCGGCCAGATTCCTGCATGT